GGTGTGCAACAAAGGCTTGACTTTGCGAATCAGCTTCTAACAATGATCGACAACGACAGATTTGATGTGAGCTGCATCTGGATCGCAGATGAGGCACATTTTCATTTGAATGAAATTGTTAATAAACAGACCTGGAGATTTTGGGGTTCTGAAAATCCTCATTTGTGTGAAGAGAAAGCACTGCATTCGCCTAAAGTTACTGCATGGGCTGCGGTATGCGCCAGACGCATTATCGGACCCTTTTTCGTACGAGAAACGATAACTACTGAACGTTACATTACGATTTTGGAACAATTTGTCAGCACTCAACTAGCGTTGGAGGATCGTTTAGCAATAGTTTATACAAGGTATCAATTAGTTTATACAAGATGAGGCTCGACCACATCGAACAGATAAAGTTTTTCGCTTTCTTCATGAATACTTTGGGAATGAAGTAATTGCGTTGGATTATCCGCAATTTACTGACACAGGAATTGCTTGGCCTCCATATTCTCCCGATCTGAGTCCTTGTGACTTCTTTCTGTGGGGCGCATTGAAAGACACTGCCTATCGAAACAATCCCGCTACTCCCGCTTCACTTTATTGTTTTTTTTTAGACTCCTTTCAGAGAAAAAGTTTTAAGCGCAGAGCGCCATCTGTTAATGATTTTCGTAACTAAATTTTCTAAACTTTTGTACACCATTTTTACAGTTTTGCTAATAAACATACAGTTTACAGCACAATTCTATTGATGTTTGTTGTAGAGATATTTAATTTTGAAATCAGGGCTTATTCGCTGATCACCCTGTAAAAGCAAAGGAAAAGACGGAACATTGTAGATGCGTGATTAGACCCATATTGAAGAAGATTTTGATTGCGTAATATGCTAGTAATGCTAACTTGGTAATATCTAACGAATTGGCAGTCGAGGCAGTTTTTAATTCCGTTTTTATTTATGATATGATATTTGTGGCCACAATCACTTGGCACTCTAGTCGTGCCTTTCCACAGAAGATTTACATTTTTGATATTGTTGAGATAGAAAGCAAGCCAGCGAAATTACATCTTAGCAGAGTAGAGAGCAAAAGCTGAAGTGCGTAGTTATGAAGGATGAAAGCACGGCGAAGAGAAAAGTTTTGGTTTACAAAGGCAGTTTCAGTTCCCAATTATTACGTCATCAGAGCTACGCGGGCCATAGAGTGATCTAGAAATGACGCAATGCAGAGAAGTTATTACGATTTTAGAATAAAGAGGAAGAATTAATGTTTATAGTTTAAACTATAATTTTGATTCATATATTTTTATCTTACATACTTTTAAATAAAATAATTTTGAAAAAAAATCTACTGTCAGCTAATTTTGGGGTATTTTAATTAGCTGATTAAGTCATTAGTTCATATAATTTTTCTATGTTGCTACTATCATTTAAGTTTTTTGTTTAATATATATATATATTTAATAAATGTTCTTTCATTCGTATAAAAGTAATTTAAATTATGAAAATTTAATTGTATATAAATAAAGATTAATTATTGCTGCGAGCTAATATACATATATATATATATATAATTATGAACTGCGCTTAATTGGCGTATTTTAAGCAAATTAAATAAATAATTATAATTGCTCTTCTGTTTAATTTAGAACGGTTTTGTTTATTTGATTATGATAAAGCACTCGAGGGCTATCTGCCTGTGGAAGAATGCCTTTGCGGAGGACTTACCAAGGGAAACTGGCTTTTATACACGTTAAACATGGAGAAAAACATGAAAACGCCCATGCAGCCAATCCGTTCTACGGGATTGGAACCCCTGGCCAAACTACCAGTATTCAGTGATTTTACCGCTCGGCCACTGGTTGGCCATTCAGCTTACTAAAAATGTTTATATGTACATTTCGTTTCGGATAAATGTGTAGCAAAATAATGTACAAATTAATTTGATGAAAACAGTGTAGCGCCAAAATATTTTATCTTTCAAAATCTGTATTAAAATTTACTGTGCGTTTTCTTAGAAACAAGAAATAAGTGCCTGGGATGCAAACTTAGCCTTTATTAATAAAACTCTCCTTAAGAGTTTTATGTAAATGTTACATATTTATATTTCAGACGCATGCGCACGATATAATGCAGTTTGGGGAAAATTTTAAATATTTGATATATTTTTGTTGATTTCTTATATGTTGTTGTTGTTGTTTATGGAAAAGGTGCTAAATGGAGCCGCAAGTCTGCACGACAAGCCTTGCCAGGTCTGGAGCCTGAGGACTATAAAGGATATCCTATGGGATTTCTTAGATCATTTTATAAATTGTATATTTGAGAGTTAACATTTTTAAAATCATTAATCCCACAGTAGCTCTCTTCACTGAATTCAGTTTTTTTTGCATATTTTAGCTTATTAAATTCATAATATTGTCTAGAACTACGAGTTCGTAGAAACCTCTTCAAATAATTACTCCTGACGTGTAGGAGATTCTCAGTTTGCTGCAATAATTACAGTATTCAGCAGAAACAGCTAGGAAACGTAGCAATTACGCAAATCTTATATAACAAATCATATGCTGATGAACTTCGGGGCCCAAAAGATCAGGAAAGCAGAAAGAGGGCACTGCAGGTCGTGGCCCATTAGGGTTGTTGCGTCACTGAGTTTAGTTTTAGTTTTATATAAGAAATATCGCAGGTAGTCGGTATCACTCACAGAATAAACTTCAAAACTCAGTCTCTCTGAAGTCATTCAGAACTGATTAGAAACTAACGACGAAGAGCATATGTTTGCGTTTCAATTTCGGAACAGGAATGAGACCTTTTACTCAATATCTGTTAACCTATCTATTAGAAGAGAGAACAAGTAGCTCTAGCGGATCGAAGAGGGTTGTAAATTTCTGGTGATAACCACCATTCGACGAAACCCAAAAATGGAATTCTGAAAAAGGAAAATGCCAGTGACATTAGAAAAGTCACATTTGCATCAAAATGTTAGGAGTCTGAGATGTCAAATGGGTACTTATTCTTCTCTCTGGGGAATGTAGTGTAGTGAAGAGAGTTGATGAAAAGATTTGTGCGGGCGAATACTGAGAAGAAGAAACTGGTGGCGAGCTTTTGAATGGTATTTTCTGTTCTGAGGTCTATATGCAGTATGAGTTAGGAATGAACCAGGGGGCATTGATAATTTCCTTGTAGGACTTTTTTTGCATTAATTGGATCTGTTTAAGGTTAGTCATAACCGCGTGTTCCCAAACTGGATAGCATACAAGAGAACCCCGGTCCTAAGTATTGATTTGTAGAGAATACGTTTATTGACAGTAGTTAGATTGCTGCGTCTTCTAAGGATGGGTCTCATTGTCTCCAGCGTGATATTCATTTTCTGGACAGCTGAAATTGCATGCTGATGAAATTTTTTAAAAAAATTAAGATTAACTTCGAGGTATTTTACTTCATCTACCCAATTAATTTCATTGTCTAATAGAAATGGTTTAGGAGGAGCAAAGTTGATGTGCTTTTTCCGAAATATTGTCGCCTTGGACTTGTCTGTGTAACTGCAGTCCACCATAGCGTGAGCCAGTTTATGATCTAAATTAGGTCATTCTGTAACAGAAGCCGGATGACTGAAATTTCTTAAGTGACAGATGCTGTATCATCAACAAATAAGACTGAGGTAATATATAGGTCTTTAGAAATATCATGTTTGTACAGGGTGTTTCAGCAAATCGGTTGCAAACTTTCAGGAGAGGCAGAGTATACGTAGACGATGGAAACACATATAGCAATGCATGGTCCTGCCGCTTTCCTGGCTCGGTAATGAAGATATAAAACAAAGGGAAGGAAGGACGAGAACAGGGTGTGAATGTATGTTTATTACGCTTAGTGCAGCGGAAACCAAGAAATAAGAATAAAAATAGATGATCGTCATCAAAGAAGGTGTTCCAAATGTATCCTCAACATAGAATCTGCAGGAGTGGTCCGGTGCATTGGCCAGCAAGATCGCCAGACCTAATTTAACATTGGTTACTTGCTCTGGGGTGTAGGTAAAGACATTGGTGTACGAATCCCCGTTAGAAGTTTTAAGGAACTTGTTGCACGCATCGTGGCAGCTGCTGGAGAAGTCCGAGACATGCCCGGTATTTTCCAGAACATCAAATCTTCCATGTATCGGAGATATGAAGTCTAGATAAGGGTCTAGATAAGGGCCGAAGTCGTAATTTCGAACATATTCTTTTATGACGATCGTTGTCTGTTTTTGTTCTAATTCTTGATTTCTGCTCTCTTAAGCACAACAAACCCGTTTCCTCATTCTGTTATGTTCTTCCTTTCTTGTGTTTTTTGCTGTTACTAACGCGCAAAGAAAGCATTTTCGACCATGCACTGGTATATGATTTTCCATACTCTTGTTGTGCTCTCTCTTCTGAAAGGTTTGTAACCGATTCGCTGAAATACCCTGTATATGTTATATAAAAATGGGACAAAGAACTGAACCTGGGGAATGCTGGCAGACTGACTGTCGGAAACATATTTGTGCAATTTGGGTAGCTTCAGAAAGAATTACTTTTAGAGCTTCGAAAATGTCGACGAGAAATCTCTGAATTCTGCCAGCGTGAAAACAAAATTTTTCACAAGAAGTGTTAGTAGAATTTCTGCCTAAGTTTCTACTTGGGTTACTTTTACAACTTAACCGATGCTGGATTCAGAATCACAAAATCTACAATTATCCAAATGAAATAAACACTTACGTGCAAAGCACGTGTCCACAAATTAAATTACATAAAAATGCACCCAGAAATTATTACCTAATATGCTACAAATAAATAAATAAAAGCAATACAAAATATTGTAAAAATATACAAGAATAACAATAAAATCAAATGCACCCAAATACTCATATGAATTTGCATCACTATTTTACGATAAAGTAAAAGAATTTGGCAATAAAAAATTGAATTATTTATTTTTCAGCATTGCTTTCAAAAATGTTGGAGTTACTAAAACTCCTTATGAATATATTCACGGTGTGTTACCTCACAAAATTCTGATCTTATTAAATTTTCTTTCTGGAGATTTTATCAATTTAATCTTTTACCTATTTTTTTTTTCAGATTTAGAAACTGTTTTATGCAAGCAGTTGCCCTTAAATCTGGAATCATTAAATTTATCTCAGTAAGTTTACTTTCAAAATATATTTTTTCTATTTTGTTAAAAGAAACTGCTATAAAATTTTGTTTTCTTAAGAAGAATATTGCTTGATTATTATTGCGTTTTAAAATGAAATTTATCGGTTAAATTATTAATAGAATTTTACAGCTGCGTGTATAAGCACATATTTCAATCATTCAACCTCTTCTTTTGTCTTCTAGTAATGCTTTTTCATCGCTTCCGGAGTGGATAGTTGAAGCAAAATCTGTGTCACACTTTTCCATTCATCATAATCGGATATTATCTATTTCTAAAGAGTAAGTAACACAATTTTTCTAATTTAAAAATAATTTCAGCGTTTTGAAAAACCATGGAGAGGGTATATAGTAATGAAGTTTCCTTAACTGTGATAATTCAGATTCTAAGAGACTCAGGATGCTTGGGATCGTTGGGTTTTCACCTATAGTATGTTATTTGCATATGAAACATTGTGGCTGAAACTGTGTGGGAATGTCGGGAACAAGAGATGACGAGGAAAAATTGCGTACTATCAAAACGCCTGACTATCAGATGCCGCATCATAGCTATAATTTATCTGAATAAAATAAAAGTAGTCATCTCAGGCTCATAATTCATATACGTAAGTGTAGGAATTAGAATCAGTTAAATTTTTACATATTATTAGTCCAAAGGGGCAATTTGCCCAGAAGGACTATTGATTTCGTTTTGGCATTCTTGCGCTAATTCACTACAAGCGTGGTTTCACTTTTCTAATTGTTGCCATCAAATATTATCGCCCTGTATTATATTTGAAGAAATTAAATAATGAAGAATCTGCATAAATATATGTATGTTTGTCATATTGTGATAAAACAACGGTACCTAGAGCCATCCAATTATGAATGACGTAATTCTCCTGTGAATATGGGCATCTGGAAGTCCAAATTTGAAATTGGAATTTGTTTTATTATCGATTTCATATTTTTAACAAAATTTTGATTAAGAAACTCAAGGATTTCAAAGCGAGCGATGGCAAAGTTGTACAGAAAAAACATTTTTATCTCCAGCGCGCGAGACTGTGTATCGAAAATTCTAAGGATATGCTCAATTTAAAATTATTTTGTAATATTGCTCTTGAACTGGATTTTATTGCTTAAGTGCGAAGAACATGATATTTAATAAATAAAGGAACACACAAAATGTTAAAAAAAACACCTCTTTGGATGTAATTTAAAATCTGAAACCTTCTACATTTTTTTTTCTTTTTGTATTAAAATATGACACAAGATTCTTGATAAACTGGAATTAAAGATTTCTACGATTCTAGAAATTTAATCTCGCAATTAAAAAAAAAACTTGTTTATAAATCTGCAAAAATATGCTTGATGATTATTTTGGATCACTTTTTATTACCTACATAATAGGGTGTGCCTACTCCGTACCTAATGGCAGTTGAACTGTAGAATGCTAAAGCATAAATTATAAGATACCTGCCTTAGGTTTTGCCCATGTATTCGGAAGCTCTTAGCCGCATTGTAGTTGAATCTAAGGTTTCAACTGAAATTAAATACGATTGCAAATTATTAAAACTGAAAATAAAGCGTTTAGGGATGGGAAGAAATTTAAATTATCTCCAAACCGATTTCTAATAAATTTTTATGCAATAATAATAATAAAAGAATAAGCTTCTCTTAAATGTTTTAAATGAAGGAAAATGTGAGATCTGCGTTTGGTGAGAAAGAAGTGAAGAATGCAGTTTCAAAAACGCAGCTTTGTTTATTAAGAAAACAGAAATGATGTTTACTAAATGATACCAAAACTCTAGATAATCGAGGTTCGTATCCTCAATGCAGTTTGACAAAAAATATTTGACTAACAGTTCAGATTTTTTTACATTTTTTTCAGAAGCTTTTAAAATTAAAGCATCGTAGAGCAAAGAAGATTATTTCAAATGCAGATGAATATTCTGAACGAGGTCTAATGAAACAGCAACAACTGTGTCCTCCCCTTTTTCTTAAATAACCGCTTGCTCTGCCAGACTAAAAATAGTTATTATATAAAGAAAGTAAAGTATATAATGATTTTAGTGAGCCCTAAGTAAATGATTTTCAAATCAAAAATTTAATAAATTATTTATTTCTTGGAAATTTTTATCACTCGTTATTAGATATTTTCCATGAGCTGCGGTAGTTGATACTTAAGTTTTACTACGTTTATTTTATTTTAAATCTTTACTATCACTTCTTATTTTCTACTTCCGGCCAGAATTAAAAGCGTTTAACTTATTTATGCAAAGTTTGTCTGGCGAACGCCAAGTACTTAAGTTGTGGCTTTTTGCCAAGCGAGAGAGAGGAAGGAGTTAGTCGAAGCAGGCCGCTTACCTTAGAAGTTTTACTCAGTTGCTGGTTGCCTTCCAGGCCAGAGGTTTAATCCTCTTGATAATTTTAAACGTATTGTAGTGTTAACAGTTCTCTGTACTACATACGGCTTCCTGTTAATATAAGGCCAATCTTCCACGTTTATTATTCCAAAGTTAAGTTAGAGTTTAGTTTATTTTTATATTCTTACGTTCAGACCACAAGTAGTTGGTCTCTGTATTCCGAAGTACGGAAATTATTGTAAAGAGAAAAATAAAGGGTTTTGTATACCCTTCTTGTGTATCCTGTCTACTTCCCACATTTATTGAACATAGCTTTAGTAAGCTCTCTGTTCCGAGTCAGGTCCTTGCATGTTCCCAAAGAAAGTAAGACGGAACATTGAACCTGATAGTGGCGCCCAACGAAGAAGAATAACCATGGCCGAGTTTCAAGAAGAACCTGTGCTGCCTGCAGAAGCGGCTCAGAATCCAGAAATGCCAGCTGCCGCCCTGGAAGGATTTGGTTACATCGTCCAGACCATGCGCGCTTCGATGAAACCAGAAGCAACATTTAATGGAAACTCACCGGTAACCAGTTTTTTGGAAAAATTGGATGACCACTTCATGCTCTACCCCGTGCACGAGTTTCAAAAAGTTACCTTAGCTACCAGCGCTTTGAGGGGCCAAGCGCTTAACTGGTTCAAATGTATAGGCAGAAGTCTCTTGGGTCAAGCAGGAAGTCCCACCTATACTTACGAAAATTTCAAGACTGCCCTAGTAAAAGCCTTCCCTGTCGTAAGGGATCGTGCGAAATTAGAAACGGAACTTTTCAGCATATATCAGCAAAGAATCGAAAATCTCTCAAGCTTTATTTTAAGAAAAATTCACGTCTTCAAACTCTTGTATGGAAACCGTCCGGATCCTGAGATAATTCAAGTGATTTTGCCGAGGTTACTTCCCCAAGTGCAAGACTTTATTGAATTAAGAAATCCGACTACACTGGAAAAGTTATTTGAGCTAGCAATCCAGTTTGAAAGTAGAAGAACGGCGGATATTGAAAGAAGACGCCAATATCAACAGCGAAACCAATTTGGTGCGCCAAGACTACAGCAAACTCAAGCACACACGGCTACGGAAGCAAAGCGAATCAGTGGGCAAGGAAACCCGAGCATTCAAAAACAGCCGGCGAACGTCGACAGTTCAATAGCAATCCAGGAAAAAAGTCTCAAGGCCAGTGGGAAAAGAAGGAAAGCATGGAAATGAAAAATAATTTAAACTAAAACGGATTTCTGCTGACGGGAGGGTGCGGAAATCCGAAGGCCAAGAAAACCCCTCTTCCTTCAAGTTAAATACAGTAATGGTGAAAAATTTGACTCTTCCGAAGATTGAAGTGTTGGTGAATAATATCCCAGCCACCGCACTCCTGGATACAGGCGCGCAGTGTTCCTGTGTGGCAGAAGATTTTTTTAGGAAGTATTTTCGTAAATACCGCATATATAATTCGGATAATACGACAGTGTTAGCTGCGCAAGGAGAAAGATGTAAGTGTATAGGTAAATTACCGCTGTATGTCCGTATCAAGGACGAACAAGTAAAGGTTATGTTTTTTATAGTAAAGAATCTGCAAGCACATATTATCTTAGGAATAGATTTTCTTTCAGAGGCACAAGCAACGCTGGATTTTAATGAAGCGTCCCTTAAGCTGACGATGAAACCAGTTCGAGAAGAAAAGGCTGAACCGCCGATGTTAAACCTTGACCACCTGCCTAATGAAGAGCAACGAAGAATCCGACAAGTGGTAAGTGAATTTGCTTCGTTATTTAGTGATATTCCAGGATTTACTCAGGTTACTAACCATAGTATTGACACCGGAGATTCAATGCCAGTTCGCCACAAAGCATACCGGTATGATAAGAATAAGGAAAAAATTATAGAATGGCATATTCACCGATATGCTACGTAAAAAGATCATAACGCCCATCTCAAGTAGTTATGCTAGCCCGGTGGTTTTATGTAAGAAAAATAATGACTATCCTTTGACACATCCAAAAAGGTGGAGATTCGCAATTGACTACCGTAAATTAAACTCCATAACTAAATATCCGGTATATCCGTTACCTATTATTGAAGAAATTCTAAGGAACATAACATCCACCAAATATATGACGACTTTAGACTTAACGACTGGTTATTTTCAAATAGGGGTTAGAGGCCTGAGGACGTGCCTAAGACTGCTTTTATAACCAAGTCTGGCACTTATGCATTTCTGCGTATGCCGTTTGGCCTTTCAGGGGCACCGGCAACATTTCAGCGATGTATGGACATTGTGTTAAGGCCTGTTCTTGGAAAGTCCACATTTATCTATTTAGACGATATCATTATTACTAGTGATAATCTCGACCAACATGTACAGGATTTAAGACAGGTGTTTTCTTTATTAAATGAGGCCGGTCTAAAAGTTAATGTCGAAAAGTGCAAATTTGCAGCCCCTGAATTAAAATATTTAGGTTACAAAATATCTCAGAAAGGAATCGAGACAGACGAATCAAAAATAATCGCTGTACAAAAGTATCCGACTCCAAAACACGGCGAAGAAGCTCTCTTCTTTTCTAGGACTTTGTTCATATTATAGGTCCTTTATAAAAGATTTTGCAGCTATTGCTGAACCATTGTTAAAATTAAAAAGGAAAAAGGCAAGATTCTCGTGGACGGCCGAAGCCAATAGTGCTTTCGAAAAATTAAAAGCAAGCATTAACGCAAGCCCCTGTGTTGAAATTTCCTGAAAAGGATGAGAATTTAGAAATTTCAGCGGATGCTTTGGATTATGCGGTAGGAGCGGTACTTTCGCAAAATCAGCAGCCCGTGGCATTTTTTAGCCGAACTTTAAATAACTTTAAATCAAACACAAAGAAACTATTCCGCGACCGAGAGAGAGGCACTTGCAGTTCTGTTAGCAGTGCA